GACCCCTCAAGATTGAGAACCAAAAGCTCAAAAGGCATTTAAGTCCCAGCATCCCATTGGAATCAACAGAGGAAATACTTTGTGAGACTGGGGTCTGAGACACCTTGGTCCAGAAGTCAGGAAGTTATCTTCTGCTCCCTCACACAGCTGCACGCCACCCTGATCAAAACAGTGCTGCATGCTCACGTGAGCCAGACCCAAGCAACACAAATTGTTGGTACCGCAGTCTAGCCGGGAACTTGTTTGAAATTCAGTGTGTTCATGGATCATCTGTCCCAGGTACTCCCCTTCTATGACCATGTATCACCTCTAAATGGAGGGTCACAAGTCTTATCTGCCCCTTTACATAGTTAATTAGCCAAGTTCTATGTTAACTATTAACTTTCCTCATCCTTGGTCCTTACTAAATGACAGCCTGGTAAGTATGGGCTCAAGCCAAAGCCTAGAAGCCAACAAGTTTCCTTAGCTGGTGAACACAATGAATTAACGATTCCCCAGCTCTGTGCATTTTAGCTCAGGATGACAGCAGTAGATTCAGCTTCCTCTCCTGCACCCAGAGGTGCCAAGTCCCACATACCCTCCTTTGCATCCCAAGCAAGTAGCAGAAGTAGGTACAGAAGCATCCCTAGATAACTACTTACCACAATCTTTTTGTATGCTTCAGGTCATGTTAAAGGCCTTCAACTTTGCTCAGAGTGTAAATGAAGCCCTGTGCAATTAGCTAGGATACTTAGGAAGCAGGCAGTCGAGATGGCTGCTTAGTCAGCTAGCCGCACCCTGCTGTGTAAACGCCTGCCAGCTGCTCACCCACCCCAGCCATGTTTGCTTAGGCTGCAGGTGATGTTTGCCTTCTGCAGAATCACGATGGAGGTGGATGGTCTCTTGGCTTCCTGCAAGCAAGAGAAGGCAGCAACTTCTCTTGCTCACAAGGAAGTAAGCAAGCAGGATGCATACACCCATAGGAGATCCAGCAGTGACCCACAGATAGCAAAGGCGTGATTATAGGCCCCATTGCAAGAGACAGGGAAGTGAACATTGCAACGGGGGGCTTCCTTCTAAGTCATACTCCCCTTCAAGAGGCAGAAGTATCACCTGTTGTACCGGAGGCCCAGGCTTGATTTCTACATCCCATGCATTTCTTCTTCGTTACAGTAGACTGGTGGGTGGTTCTGCTCACCAGAGCATCAGCAGATCAGATCCATTCTACAGGACACATGGACACAGCATGGAGAGCCAGAATAGGGGGCATTACTATTCCTTGCCAGGTCCATTGTTTGGACACCACTGCACTAGGCAGCTCTAGCAAGGTATATCCTGGGGCACATGATTGAGTAGGATGCAATACAAAACTAGGATTCTTGTTTTTCCCCCCCAAATCACAACAAGAAGCAACACTTTCACTTTGATCAGGAAAAAAATCCCACTGGCAGAAACACACAGATGAGACATCACTAGCTTTCTTGCCATCTTCTTCTAGTCTTGAGATTACAGCAGATACACGTGTCTGGCAAGTTGCTGTGAAGAACCAGATTCAAGGTCTCAGATGAATCAAGAAGACTCCACTGCTATGCCTGTGTTTTAAATTGCACTTTTCAGGCTACACTATGCTGTGGCCCCACCACATGGTTCTTGGTAAGCAGGATCAAGTTTTGACTGCCCAGGCAGCGGTCTGAAAATGGGGGTGCTGCAGACAAGGGTATTGCAGATTTAGTAATCAGCGTTCTCATCTAGATCTGCATTGCTCCAGTGACCGGAGATCATGCCTGGGTGCTGCACTGCACTGCTGCTGCCCCTTGGCAAAAAGAGCCAAACCAAAGTTATTGGCAACTTGTTATTAATCATCCAGGGGTGCTATCTTGAGGTAGCTTCGTTGTCCAGGCCCAATTTCATCTCAACCATCTACATACTGCTACCTAACTGGTGTAGATGCCCCGCCATTCCCCAATCCCCCTATTCAAAACAACTGCAGGACACTGCAGGCTATTGAACAGCTGCTACATCTCACCCCAGTGGTGCTGTCTGTCAGTAACACTGTCATACCCACATTCAGTATTTTGAGATCCTTTAGGAGTTACAAAAAAAGCAAACATTTATTAGTGAAGAGTGGCTGACCTAGAGCCAACGAGGCTATTTATTGTTTCTTTGCAACACAGATATGGAAAAAACAAGCTGCAGCTACTGCTGCTTTTAAACTTTCACATAAGATTATATATACACAGAGTAAAAAGTCAATTACAAAAATTAAATCAGTCTTTAAAAAAACCCCAATGCATGATCTAAAAATCAGGAACCAGAAAAGTCAGTTGAGAAAAATAGACACTTTTCCCTTCTTATAATATATATAGAAATATATTTCTAAGCCAACATTTCACAAAACCAGAAGCAAGGTTCTAAAAAGAGAGTCTGAGCTGACAGCTGATGAGGTTACACATTCATAAAACCCACATGAGAAACTAGTTTAGAATTAAAAACCTACCCACTCCCAGACTTCAGTTGTCTGCATAGTCTTTTGTTTCCACTCCTGTTTCATTGAGCAACGTTGTCCTCACAATGGCCTCTGTGACTGCATAGGGGTCACAGTTGGCTGCAGGTCGCCGATCTTCAAAGTACCCAAAGCCATCCTGGCCAACTTGGCGGGGAATACGGATGCTGGCCCCTCTGTTGGCCACTCCGGCAGAGAACTCGAAAATGTTGGAAGTCTCATGGTGGCCAGTCAGCCTCCTGGAGTTGTCTCTCCCCCCTCTTGGGTCATACACACAGATGTGGTAGTTATGTCGCTTGCTTAGCTTTTCAATGGCAGCTTCGATGTGTCTGGTCAATGAAGAGGAAAGGGAAAACAGCAAGTTTTAATGGGTTTCTTTTGATAACACTTTATTTATAAAGCCTTCCTGTTTCATCCACTCTAGCAGAATTTGGAATGGTACCCAGGAAGGCTCAACATTTGCTCAAAGCGTTGCTCACAGAGTTTTCCAATTAAATGCATTATTTAATAATTTACATTAAAGATGATGATTGTAATAATTTACCAAAAGTAAGAAAGACACAAACAACAAAAAAACTTCCAACAAATGCCCATGTGAGGGGGGACATGAAGAAGCCAGTTTTTTCAAGGTCAGGTGTAATATACTGACCAGGTACTGCCCCTCTTCATAGTTTCAGCTTAGGTTTTTCACCCCAGTATCTACATATTTTGAAGATAAGCCCCTTGGACAGAAATGAAAGTGACAATCCCTGACCAATCCCAGCCTCTTCAGGAAGAGGACTCACTTGAGACCTCCCTCCTTTCTCATTTCTTCTGTGCTGTAGTTGGTGTGGCACCCAGCTCCATTCCAGTTGCCAGTCATTGGTTTGGGGTCCAAAGTAGCCACAACTCCAAAATCTTCACAAACACGATGCAAAATAAACCTAGCCATCCACAAATGGTCTCCCATCTCCATGCCTTCACACGGTCCGACTTGGAATTCCCACTAGAAAAGGAGAGAGAAGACACTGCCATGAATACTGGGGTTTATAATTCTCTTCCCTCAGCCACTGACAGTAGATTACACCAAGTGTAACTGAGGCCCACTAAAGGAAAGACTACCTGGATGATCAGGGGATTGGAGGTCCCCTTGACAAGTAAAAGAATTTGGCTTTTAATTTTAAAAAATGAAGGCTGAGG